TGTGTGTGTGTGTGTGAGAGAGAGAGAGAGAGAGAGAGAGAGAGAGAGAGAGAGAGAGAGAAAGAGAGAGAGAAACAGACAGACACAGAGAGGTGGGGGCAGAATGGGTTGTGCCCATGAGCGGGTGCTGGTGCATCTGTGTGTGCACAGACATCTCCGTGTGTGGCAGGCCTCTTGTCTGAGGTTGTGTGTGTGCACACCTGTCTGTGACCAGACCAGTCTTCCAAAAGCGTGTGAGCGTTATGAGGCTGCCAGGTGTGGGGAGGGGGCAGTGACAGTTGCCCCCCCTCGCTTCTCGTTCACTTCCCCTATCCCTACCCCATCTGTCATCTTGGGCCCTCCAGCAGTCTCCTTCCTCCACGTCTGAGCTCTGCATCTCTTCGGGGCCAGCAGAGGTCTGGTCCTGCTGGCCTCAGGAACCTTGCCCACTCCTCTAGAGTTCCCTTTGGCGCTAACTGCCTTGCCCTTCCCCATCTGTAAAATGGGCTGGTAACAGGCAGAGCCCACAGCACAAGGTAGTTGGTACATGCTCAGCACTTGCCATGGTTGTGGTATCCAGCATGTCCCACAAAACGTCTGACATTAATGGAAAGTTCTACATCTGCCCAGGCCAGTACATGGCTATTGAGAGCTCGATAAGTGGCCAGGGTGACTGAAGAACTGAATTTGAATTAATTTGCTTTTAAATAGCCCTTGGGACTCACGGCAGCCATATTGGACAGTGCAGATGCACACCCTCAATACGTGGCCACCTTTGGCTGGTAGAACATTGTCTCGCTCCATCCTCCCAGGACCGAGCATTGTCTGCAGGTCTTCCTACCTCTGTTTTGCCAAGTTCTTGGGGCAGCACCCTACCTCTGTTCTTCCTCTGCATGATGGGGGATGTGGTGCCTGGAAACCATTTACTGCACTGTCCAGTATAGCAGCCACCAGCCACGTGCAGCTACTTATCACAAACTAAAATGAAATGAAATTTAAAAATTCAGTTTTTTGATGTATTGGTTGGCTGGAACTGCCATATCAAAGTACCACAGACGAGGGGGCTTAAACAGCAGACATTTATTCTCTCCTGGTTCTGGAGGTCAGATGTATGAGATCAAGATGCCAGCAGTGCTGGCTCCTCCTGGGCCCGTGAGGGAGAATCTGTTCCTAGATTCTAGTGTTGCTGGCAATCTTTGGAGTCCCTTGGCTTGTAGATGCATCACCCCCATTTCTGCCTTCATGTTCACATGACATTCTTCCGGTGTGCCTGTCTGTGTCCTAATTTCCCCCTTTTTATAAGGACATCAATCATGTTGGATCAAGTAGGGATCATTACCCTACTCCTGTATGACCTTATCTTAACTCATTACATCTATGACCATATTTTCCAATTTGGACATCCTGGGGGTTAAGACTTCAACCTATATAAATTTAACCCATAACAGTCAAGCTACCACATTTCAAGTACTCACTAATGACATGTGGCTCGTGGCTACTGTTTTGTACACTGTAGACAGAGGGCATTTTCATCACCATGGGAAGTTCTGTTGGACATGGCTGGTTAGAGTTCCCGGCGTATATCTGGGTGCACAATAAGCTGGAATACTTCTCATGTTTTCCTGATGCCTGTTCTGGTTGTGTTTATCTGGGATAGCAGTAGGTGGGAGAGAGGAGCTTGGTGGAATTTGGGGTGAGTGGAGCTTGGACTGCCCCGAACCTCTCAGCCTGTGTTCTGAGATTGTGTTCAGCAGGCTTGGTTGCCCCATCTGCCCTGCCGATTCTTTGGGTCTCAGCTTCAGCATTACTGCCTCCAGGAAGTCTCCCCTGATTTCTCCTCCTCTGGATTCCCACAGCTGCCTATGTGTCCCATTGCAGCTCCTGTTACCCCTGGTCACCCATCTCTCTCTTCCCCTGGGCTGCAAGCTCTGTGATAGTGGAGATTGTTGCAGTGTCTGGGTCACTGCTGTGTCCCCAGCACCAGGGCCCAGCACACAGTAGGTGCTCAGTGACTCAGAGCTCTGGAAACACTGGACCCAGCAGCATTTCCTCCATTGAGCCTCAGCCCTCCCTGACAGTGGCAAATTGTCCCCAAGAATCCTGGCTTCTGCTTGGTAGATGGGTTGGGCATCTGTAACGCATTACTGTTCCCCAGCTCTGCCGCACACCACAGGACTCAGCTTCCTCATCTGTTAAATGAGCATATTGATAGGCCCTGTCCTCCTGGGATGTTGGTAAGGCAAGGCATAGAAAAGCCCTCAAACTATTTTGTGTATACTTTTAAATGAATAATAATAACAACAAAGTCTTATATATCACTTGGCACCTGGTATTGTAATCACCTTTGTATTAATTCATTTAATCTCCATAAAACCTCTCCATTAACTCCATTTTAAAGATGGAGAAACTGAGGCCCAGTGAGGTTAGGTAACTTACTCAAAGTCACACAATGGGAAGCAGCAGAGCTGGGATTCAAACCCAGGCAAGTGGCTTTTTGATCCCTGATTGTTACTACCTCTTGAATGAATGAATGAGTGAGTGAATACTAGTTCCTTTCCTCCTTGGAAAACTCAGAACAAATGTTCCATTTCATTCTTTGGGATGCCTGTGGTTTCATCTCCACAGAGCAGGATTAGTTGAAGATCCCCATTTTACAGACAGAAAAACCAAGGCTCAGGAGAGGAGACGGCATGGGCGGCTCTAGGGTCCAAGCTTCACTGTCTGAGCCAAGTTCAGGCTTCTATCTTGGCCTGTCTCTGGGTGTGTGTGTGTGTGTGTGTGTGTGTGTGTGTGTGTGTGTGTGTGTGTATTCACATATTCATAGCCTGGCCTGAGAAAATGGGGAGCAGATGGAAGAAGCAGGTAATAAATGTTAGGTAATGAAGAGTATGTGGACCACAATGAATTCTCATCTCTTTCCCTGCCCTGCCAGGCCACTTCTGACCCCTCGGGCCTAGGACTCCCTGGAGAAACCTGGGGAATGGCCGGAAGCAGGGGACATGGTTGGGAGGGGTAGGCTGGTATGTTCAGTTAACCACTGTGGGTCAGGCTCTATTCTGGGCACTGAGGTTCCAGCAATAAACAACCTGGTTTTTGCCCTTAATAAAGGTCCTACTCTGGTGGGGGTGACAAACACCAAGATAAGAAATGCCCAACATCATTTCAGTAAGGAGCTAGCCATGCAGAAAGGTGGGGGAGAGTGTTCCGCAAGGCAGAGCAGGTACTACAGCCCTGAGGCTGAGCAAATGGGTGCATTCTCATATCAACACCTATGGAGCCCTTCCTGTGTGCTTTCTTTCTGAGTCAGTTCATGTGGATTATCTGATTGAATTCTTATACAACCCTGGGGGCGGGGGGAGAGAGTGTTTGATTATTTATCATATTTGGCAGCTGAGGAAACTTCACTTTCAGAGAGGTTAAGTGACTAGCCCAAGGTCACACAGCCGGGAAGTGGAGGAGCTGGGACTTGACCCAATGCTGTTAATCAGTACAAATGCCACTATATTGGAGCCTGGGATGTCAAATCACTGGGGGCCAGGGCTGTTGTGTTTTGCACCCTGTTGCCTCAGTCTCCCCATCTATACAAAGGGGTGTGAGTTACTTATGCCCCTCAAGATCCCTGGCTCTGAAATGGGGTTCTTAAGAGTGGCCGGATTAGCAAATACAAATTTGGGACACCAGTTGAATTTAAAATTCTGATGAACAAATAATTTTTACTATGAGTATGAATAAGCATAATTATGCACGAACTTCAGGCTCCAGACTACACGTCCCATAATCCATTGCGTCATCCTTTTAGGAACCTTCTATCGTGATGTCATTCATTCATCCAAAAATTGTATAGCCCACCCACTGTGTGCCAGAACTTGGGTTAGGTTCTGGGGGTACAGAATGCACAAAGCAGACCAAAGTCTTTGCCCCCAGCGTTTAACATCTACATTCTTTGGGAGTTTTACGCGATTTTCTCAAACTTCTGCTAGGAAGACTACAACTCCCATTTGCCCTTGTGCTTGCTCATTGGACTACAATTCCCAAAAGACCAAGCGCACCAAGCGGGCTCCTCACATCCTCAATTCCCAACTTTTACTTAGTTGCAAGGTTGTATCTTGCATCCGCAGCGCTTCCCGCCTCCTCCCGCAACAATGAAAAGGTTTAAGTTTCACTGCAGTAGTTATATTTTAAGTCTCCATATTTTCTGACTTGGAGTTTATGTGAAACCAGCAATTTTAGCCCAACAGCCCACAACAGCTTCCACTGGGGAGTAAAGAACTGGGTCTACAACTCCCAGGTGGCTCTGAGCGCGCCATACGAACTAACTACACCTCCCAGGAGGCAGCGCGGCGGGCGGGCGGTCCGCAGCAGTGCCTGCAGGACCCCGGAGTTGGCGCGGGCTGCCCGGGGAAGCGTCCAGAGGACCCCGCCCGCTATCCATGCTGAGGTGAGTCCGCGGGAGCTACCGTCGTCCGTTCTCCGCTGCCGCTCCGCGCGGCCTTGCCGCCAGCCAGGATGCTGGAGGAAGCAGGCGAGGTGCTGGAGAACATGCTGAAGGCGTCGTGCCTGCCGCTCGGCTTCATCGTCTTCCTGCCTGCGGTGTTGTTGCTGGTGGCTCCGCCGCTGCCCGCCGCCGACGCTGCGCACGAGTTCACAGTCTACCGCATGCAGCAGTACGACCTGCAGGGCCAACCCTACGGTGCGTGCACTCCGGCCTCTCATCCCGGGTCCCCGCCAACCCCTTTTGGCCTTCCCTCCGGGCTCCTGGCCTAGCCGGCCTCCCCAGGGTCCAGCCTCCCCGCGCCGGGATGCCCCCTTCCCTCAGCCCCGGTGTCTGCTCCTCGGGCCCTAGGACCCTCCACTTAGGCCTGTCCAGCTGGAGTCCAGCCTCTACCTAGACCTTTACCCAGGACTCAGGCAAGTCAGAGCCTGGATGCCTGGAACCCCCGCTAGGCCTCCAGCCGTCCCCCACAGTGTCCTAGGAACCCACTGCGCTGGCTTCCGCAGCCCCAGTTCCCCCGTCCCAGACAGGGGCCGCATGCCCCAGAACCCGTAGCTCCGACCTTCAGGCCAAGCTCCTCCTGCTCCAGGACCCCTGGGTCCCCTCACTGTTTCCCAGCTGGGCCAGAGTCACGCTGCTCAGGTACCCTTCACCGGACACCACCCAGGTGCCAGTCCTCACTGGGTCATGCCCTGCGCCCAGAGCTCCACCTCTGGCCAGCTTAATTTGGAGAGGTTCCCTCCTGCTGGGTGTCTGCCAGGCTGAGCAGCCCAGCATGGTCTTCCAACCAGCCCGAGCCTTCCACTGCCCCCCGGGTACCCCCGTGCTCTTTGTGCAGCGTCCACATTCTGCTCCCCTCAGAGCGCTGATCGCCAACCCAGGTTTGGCCCAATGGCTCACCTCTCCCCGATCCCAGTTCATGAGCCAGAGCCCTCAGAATTCCTTAGCCAGCCTCTGCCCTCCTCCCCCCACACCCCCAGTTTAGTCCCTGCGCCTTTAGGTTCCTGAGAGTCTCTTGGACCCAATGTCTTGTTCCCACCTTTGGTGCATATGCCCCTCAGCTCACCTTCCTTACCCCCAGCTTTCTGGAACCCCACTTGCTTCCTCTCCCTGGGATTTCTGGATTGTCTCTGACCCCTGGCCTGGATTCTGCATACCGCCTTTCTCCCTACCCCTATTTTCTCATCTGACTCCAGTGCCCAAGTCATCCTAAATTCCCTTGTCTTCTCCCAGCTATATAGCTGTACCTGGTGTTCCAGAACTTTCTGGCCTCTGGTTTCTTTTCCAGCCTGGTGCCTTAGGTCCCCTGAATTCAAGGCCTGACTTCCTCATACAGGAACCCCCCCCCTCTCCAGTTCTCCTGGTCCCCTCATCTCTGAAGGGTCCATCTCAGTTCTCTTGGGTTAGACCATTTCAGGCTCAACCCATGTCCTTTTGACCCCCAACTCCTGCTGGGTTCTTGGACAGTGGTCCCTGGAGATGTGTCCAGACTTCCCCTCAGATCTCTCACTACAAAGTTACATTGTTTCTGTTCAGAGCAGTGGTTGTAAACCTGGGTATCATTGGGTGATGACTTCATAGTTGTCACTATTGGGGGTGCTCCTGGCTTCAACTGGGTGGAAGGCAAGGATGCCCTCACAGAGAATGATCTAGCCCCAGTGTCAGCAGTGCCGAGGGGTTCTGAACCCGCGGCCACAGGCTCTGGAGGGGTGGGTGGGAAAGAAGTCCAGGAGCCCCAAATGTTACGGACATGTTTCTGTGCGTTGTTTGACATTCTCCTGGGGGAAGGGTCTTTACCATCACTGTCCTATGGGACTTCCTGTGATTGGACAGGTTCTGTATTTTCACTGTCCAGTACAGGAGCCACCAGCCACAGTTGGACAGTGGGCACTTGAAATGTGGCTTGTGAAACAGGAAGGGAATTTTGAGTGTTATTTAATTGTAGTAAACTCAAATTGCCACATGTGACTGGTAGCTGCTGTCCTTGTCAAGAGTCGTTGGTTTTCCAGAGGAATCCGCAGTCCAGAAGGCTTAGATTCTAGAACTCGTTAGAACCAGTTTCTCCAGATCCTGGGTCTTGGTTCCTTCTGCTCACCCCCGTCATTCTGTCCTGACTCACTCGGAGCCTCGCTAGGAACCTCCTGGCCTGCCCCTCCAGCACACCCAGCTTCTCTCTGTGGCCCCTTGGGCAGCCGTAATCCAACGGCCCGCAGGCCCCCAGAGTCCCCCCTGACCGATTCAGCACTGTCCTGTGTGCACTTGATGTGGCCTCTCTCCCCTTCAAACCCTCCCAGGAAATGCTGGCCGAATTTGCTGAGCAGACAGGCGTCCTGGCCGCGTTTTTCTGATTGCACAGCTGCCCTCTCCCTCTTCCTCTTGGGGCACCTTTTCTCCCTGGCTTCCTCTCTCCTCTCCCTCAGCTTTCTTTTCCTCTTCCCTCCATTCTGAGTCCTTTGCCCTTGATCCTGGGATTCCTTCCCATTCTTTTTTCCAACTTGGCGGTTCCCCCAATGTACCCTCCTTCCCAGCCCCCTGTCTTTGTTGCTCCTAGTGAGAAACCCAGATGCTGTCTGCCCCACACAGGGCATCAGTAGGCTCCGGGGGTGATCAAAGGGAGCCTGGTGGGGTGCCCACCTATCTTAGCCAAGTGTTTCTTGTCTGCAGAGCCAGGAGGCAGAGGCCTAGCTTGAGAAACTTGGACGAGGCCCTGCAAGTGGGGCTTGCATGTCTGCACCCCCATGCTGGTCACACCAGGCGATGTCCCTACCACGGATGTGAGGTGGACCATTGCTGCCTGGGGAGAAGCTGGCGGGATAGTCGCTGCTGTGGAGGGGGAGTTGGTTGACAGAGGGGAGTCCCCTCATGAATCTGAGGCATTGCTGCTTGTTCTCCATTAGCAGAAAGGCCCGGGGTGGCCCGAGGGAGCCCGGGTCTCTCCCTGCTTGTGGTGCCTTTGAGAGCTGGTCGGCCAGGTCCCTGCTGAATGCAGTCTCCCCCATGTCTTTCACACTGTCCCAGAGCACAAACCACAGGCTCCCCATCTCTGCTATGACCTGCCTCTGGGTCACTCTCATTTCCCAACTTCCTGTTCGCTTCTGTTGAGAAACAGGGTTGGGCAGTTGCCCAAGAAGGAAAGGCGTGTGCTCTTTGTGTTGTGGTGTGAATGGGGTTGAGGGAAATATGCCAGGTAAGGGCCACAGGTGTGGCCTCCTCCCCACCCCCTCTCACAGATGGACTCTGGCCCTCCTGAGGTGACTGCTGCTTTAACAGCACTTGCCATGGGCCCGTGTGCTGTGGTTAGCGGCCCACTCATGCCCACCTCATTTGATCACCTAGATGGTGGGGGTGTTAGCACCCCAGTACCCATGCTGGGCAGACTTGCCAGGGCACCTTCACCTGGGACTGGCCCTTCACCCATTGTTGAAGTCAAGTTTTCTTGGCACACAGCCACACCCACTGGTTGATGTTTCTGACAGCAGAACTGAGGAGTCATGACAGCCAGTGTGGCCTGCCAAGCAAGAGGATTGATCCTCTGGCCCTCGATAGAAAAGTTTACAGCCCCCGCTCAGGTCTGGTTCCATTGTGGGAACCAGTGACTTCTGTCCAGGTATCCAGTGCTGTCCACCAAGCCTGATCTCTGCCAGTCTAGAGCAGGGGTGAGGGAGGCTGTGCCGGCTTTAACTTCATGTCAGCAAAGACAGTCTCTGTCCTTGGGGCGCTCAGAGTCTGGGGGTGGTCGAGGTGCTGACATCTACCTGGCTCTGCTCTTACCCCTCCTTCCCTCTCTGGCTTTGCGTCCACCCTCAGTAAAGTGGGGTCCTGATTCCTGTCCTGCAGGAGCTCCAGGCCCAGTGAGAAGATGCACATAATAGGCTCCACAGGCTGCCCTCCATGTCCCCAGTCCAGGTGACATTCTCATTTGAGGGCCTCTAGGAAGCTGAGGGCCCGGATAGGTGGGGCATGGGGTAGGGGCCTTCCTGGCATTCGAAGAGCTTCAAGGACATCCTGAAGGTCTTTGCTGCCCTCCCCCTGCCGAGGCTCCTGCAGAGGCCTGCCTAACGCAGAAAAGAGAAAAGTTCCCTGGAGGTTTGGGGTGGAGGCAGAGCTTGCCCAGCCCAGGGCACCTGGCCCACCTTTACTCCTTGGTCACAGGCCCCCTGCTCCAGAGACAGCCTTCCCCATTCCCACCTGGGATGCTGACCCTTCAGTGTCCTGCCCGCCCCCTCTCCCCTCCAGCCCCTAGATCACTCTGGTGGAAGCAGGCCTTCTCCCATCTGCCCACTTTCCCAGAGAGCGAGTTCCTGGAAAGCAGAGCCAGGGACCTAGGCTCCTGGCCATGAGCCTGAGGCTTAGTGTAGCCTAGCATAGGCCCGCCTCTTGAGTACCTGGATGCCGCCTCCCCTGAGCTTCCACCTCCAGGCTGTGCAAGGGCTGGCTCCCCTGGGGGAAGCCGGATTGCTTCTCGGTGTCCGTACTTTGAACATTCACTCTCTGGGTCTCAAACTGGAGATCCCGGGGGCTCCATTTGGCCCCAGTGTGGTTAGGGTTTGTTTGCTTGCTGCTGCCTGCAGCATGTGAAATGTGTTGGTCTCCTTGCTTGCCTTTGCCATTGGGGCAATTTGCTGTAAGAATTGGGATTTCTGGCAGCTTTCCAGCTGAGAGCTGGTGGCCCTGGCGGTGGGGAAGGCTGCCTCAGCCCCCTTACCCACCCATCTGTGGGGACAGATGGCTCCCAAGGCCTTGCTGCTGTGTGCCATGTACCTGTGGGAAACACATCGATGTTAGCCCCTCCACAGTCCTGTTATTTTTTTTAGATTTTTTTTTTTATTGAGGATTTGGGGGATGGGAACAGTGCTGGGGAGTTGGGGGAAGGGGAACAGACAAGTTGCTGTCCTTTTTGTTCTTCAGTCTAGTTGTGGATATTTTTTTTAGATTTTTTTTTTTTATTGAGGATTTGGGGGATGGGAACAGTGCTGGGGAGTTGGGGGAAGGGGAACAGACAAGTTGCTGTCCTTTTTGTTCTTCTTCAGTCTAGTTGTGGAGGACGCTGCTTCACTGGCCCAAGTTGGCACCATCATTGCACTCTTCCCGGGCGAGGCAGATCAGTCGCCGGCTTCTGGACGGCTGCTCACGGCGGCTGCTGGCCGCTCACACTGGCTGCTGGCTACACACAGTAGCTCATGGCAACCCACTGCATCAGGGGCTGCAGCCTACGCTGTCACTGGGACTCACGGCAGCCCAGCTCCAGGTTGAGCTGTTGTTCAGCATCTTAGCTGTGGAGGGCAGTGTCACTGGCCCTCATATGTGGGATCCGAACCGGGGCCCTCTGGCGTCCCAAGCCAGTTCTTAACCATCGCGCCACTCGGCCGGCCCTCCACGGTCCTGTTTTTAATATCAACAGGCTCCTTTGGGATGCCTTTCTCCAGCAGAACTCTTGGGGCAGCAGTGCTTACGTGCTGTGTGCCCAAGGGAACCCTGCTGGCCTTAGACAAGCTGTCTGCGCCATCCTGGTTCTAACCTGCCACTTCTTGTCAGGTGGGGGGTAGGGTATTCAGTTGTCTGGGGGAAGCTCGTGATGGAGTCCTGGGGTCCAGGCCAGGACTCAGCTTCTGGCTCCCTCCCTGGGTCTCTGGATCTTTCTTGAGCTCTTAGAGAGGCGGAGAATGGCACTTGGGTGTAGAGCAGCAGTTCCCACCTGGGGTGACTGCCTCCAGGGTCACTGGGTAATGTCTGGGAACATCTGTGGTTGTCATGATAGGGGGTGCTCCTGGTATTGAGAGGGTAGGGACCAGGGACGCTGCTCAGCATCCCACAGTCCCCAGGAAAGCCCCCCACAAAGAATGACATGACCCCAATGTCCACTGTGCTGAGGGGGACAGACTCTGGATGTCTAGAGCTTTCTGAGGGTCACTGGGGACTTGGCATTCGCTCATTTCTTCTCCTGGCTGGTGTTTATCAAGAGCCCATCAGGCCCGGAGTGGCTGTCGATGCTGGGTTGACACTGCAGTGAATGAGGTCCCTGTCCCTGGAACCCCAGTTTTTTTAGGGGGATAGATAGCTGTCAACGTTCCAGGTGGCGGTGAGGCTCCAGGAAAATGACTGAGGCTATGTTAGAGCTGTGGAGGTTGTGGGGTGGCGCCTGGCAGGAGGGGCCATGGGGCTCAGGTCAACAGGGCCAGAGTTTGGGTTTGCTCCAGGGTAGCTGGGAGCTGTGGGAGGGCGGGCCTGTGGATTTGTCCGGCGGAAAGGGTCTCAGCTTTCATTCAGTTCTCAAAAGACCCTGCGATTCTCCAGGGTTCAAGTGGGCCTTGCATTCGTGGACAGCGGGATGCTGGCCGTGGCAGACATGTGTTGGGGCATGTGGGCAGCAGGCTGGCGGAACCTGGGCATTCCCTGAGTTGGTCTGCGGGCGAAGGTCCTGGTGTCCTTCTGAGGGAGCCTCTTTTCTGCCCCCGCAGGCACGCGGAACGCAGTGCTCAACACGGAGGCGCGCACCATCGATGCGGATGTGCTGAGCCGCCGCTGCGTACTCATGAGGCTGCTGGACTTCTCATATGAGCGGTACCAGAAGGCCCTGCGGCAGTCGGCCGGTGCCGTGGTCATCATCCTGCCACGGGCCACAGCGGCCGTGCCCCAGGACGTCATCCGGGTGAGACCCCGCCCCTACCTTCTGCACAGGCTTAGGTCCAGAAGCTTCTGTGGAAAAAAGAATGCCGGGTTTGGAGTCAGCCACGTGACCTTGGGCAAGTCATTTCACCTCCCTGAGCCCTTGCCCTTTATCAATGGTCCCCCAGAGTGACTCTGCCCTAGGGAACACTGGGTGATATCTGGGGACATCTGTGGATGTTACAACTGGGGATGCTCCTGGAATCAAGTAGGTGGGGCCAGGGATGCTGTTCAGCCCCCCACAGTGCCCCAAACGGACCCCCAAAGAGAATGACCCTGTCCGATGTCACCAGTGCTGAGGGGGAAAGATCTTTGAATGAATGGGGGTCTGATAGGATCCCCTAAGATCCTGCAGTGAAAATGCTTTTGCAGATGAGAAGAGGGTTTGGGGCAGCAGGGGCTGAGATGGGGGGAGTCAATGCTTACTGACTCAGTGCCAGGCAGTTCATGCCCTCTGTGTGGGAACCTGCCATCAACATGGGAAACCAGCACCCACTGTCTACTTAGAGCTGAGGATGTGATGGCCATTGGGGTTTGGACTGGCCCACAGTGACACCAGACCTTGCCCCAGCTTATCCAGCTCCAGTGCTGGCCCTCCTCCCAGCCCACTTCCTCCCTGCTGGGTACCATCCATGGGGCCCCTGGGCATCGCCACTCCTCACATGTACCTCCGTCCTCATCCCACTCCGCTATCCCCCTCCTGCCTTGTCCTCTTCAATGAAATCAGCCTCGTTAGCTTCCTTGGAGGAGGTGTGCTTCCAGGCCCTGGCCTGCCTGCCCTCCATGGGCAGCCACTGGGCATCCCCCCCTACCCCAGGCCAGGTGCCACCTTAACATGTGCCTCTTCTACAGCAATTCATGGAGATTGAGCCTGAGATGCTGGCCATGGAGACCATCGTCCCCGTATACTTCGCTGTGGAAGACGAGGCCCTGCTCTCCATCTACGAGCAGACGCAGGCGGCCTCCACCTCCCAGGGCTCTGCCTCTGCCGCTGAAGGTGCGCTCGAGCCCTGCCCTGGACCTGCTGTGTCACAGGACTCTGCAGTTTACGGCCCTACAGCTGATTTCCAGCAAACAAAAGCTAGAGAACCACTGATTTGGAGGGAGGTATTTCCTGTCTTCAGCCACTGGCTGTTTATGGAAAACGCAGTGTTCTCTGTCCCTTCTACCTGCAGCATGCTATGTCGGGGTGGAGGTGGTGGTGGTGGGGGGGGGGGTCAGCAGCATTCTTGGGGAGAAGAGAAAACCCGTTTCCTCCCACCCCATGGACTGAGGACGCTGTGGTGAGCTGGGAGTAGGAGTGGGTCACTGTCAAAAGTGAGATAGCAAAATTAATCAAAGAATTGCAGCCAAAAGGAGCCATCCAATGCTGTGTTTTCACCTATAGAAATGGCAGATGTAACAGAGCTGACAGGAGTGGACGAGGCAGGCAGGCTTGTCCACACTGGTAGACTCAGCCCAGCTCCTTGGGGAAACAGTTTGGTGATATGTGTTTAAGCTGTAGACAGAGATGCGATCCTCCTGGCCAGGTGGTTAGCTGCACGGGACACTAGAATGAGGGTTGGCAAACTACAGCCCTGAGCTGTGGTTGTCAATAAAGTTTTATTGGCACACTACTGTCCATTCACTTAACCTATTAACTGTGACAGCTTTCACGCTACAACAGCACAGGTGAGTGGCTGTGGCAGACCATCTGGCCCCTTATAGAAAAAGCTTGTCAACCCCTAGTCTAGATCAAAGTCATGACAACAGCCATCTGCATTGTGAATTTTTGGAAAGACCTAAATTTCCAGGAGAGAGGAGCAGTCTTCTACTTAGTGGAATATTATGCAGCCATTAAAAATGATATTGGGGTAGAATTTTGAGCACTGTGGGAAAATGCTTATTGTACATTGGTTAAGTGGATAAAACAGGATATAAAATCATAAATATTGATCATAACTGCCTGTCTTAGAATAACTTGTTTATTTTGGAATAAGACTTACAAGTTTCAAAAATATTACAGTTCCTGAGGGGCACCCTTCTCCCAGCTTCCTCCAATGATAATATCTTACATACCCATTACGATTGCGTTTTTATTTTATTTTATTTTTTAATTTTAATTTAATTTAATTTAATTTATTTATTTATTTTTAATTTTATTGGGGAATTGGGGAAGGGGAACAGTGTTGGGGAATTGGGAAAGGAGAATGGCCAAGTTGTTGTCCTTCAGTCTTAGTTGTGGAGGGCGCAGCTAGCTCAGCTCCAAGTCCAGTTGCCATCCAGCCTCCTATCAGTAGCTCGCAGCCGCTCAGCTTATGTCATGTTCAATCTTAGTTGCGGAGGGTGCGCAACCCACCAGGAGTCAAACCAGCAACCTTGTTGTTAGGAGCACGCGCTCTCACCAGCTGAGCCATCCTGCAGCCTGTTGGCAGCTCAGCAGCAGCTCAGCTCTGTTGCAGCTCACTGACCCATGTGGGAATTGAACCGATGACCCTGTTGCTCAGAGCTCGCGTTCTTAACCAACTGAGTCACTCGGCCAGCCCACGATTGTGTTTCTAAATGCATAAAGAACAGAAGTGGACTCGAGACAATGTGAACTCAGGTGTTTTTAGTCTCTGGCCCCAAATGACAAAGTGGCATCTACAGTGGTCCTGTCTGCTCGCATTGGGCAAGGGAGGCACCGCCTCGTGTCTGGTCATGAGCAGGTTACAAACCTTTGGGTGCTCACACTTTTGGACTTTGGGTGGCCTGTCTGAGGGGAGACTCCTGTTTATGGGTCACTTCTGGGGCGTCCGTCTTGTGGATGGTGGGTTGGTCCTTGGGAGGCTGGGTCAGAGGGCATGCACGGACCTCTGTAATTCTAAGGGCACCTCGAGCATTCCCTGAATCCCCCTGACCCTCCTCCGCCTTCCCCCCAATGACTGTCACCAGCTCTTGTCCTGGTTCTTTCCTGTGTCTGGTCATTGCCTTGCATTCTAGTCCGTGTGGTCAGTTCTGCACATAGCTTTGTGTGGACTGAAACCCTAGGGTTCGGGGTATTGGGGTGACAGGGATGCTGGCTCTGGCCGGAGAACCCCCAGGCTGACCCTCCCCACTCCTGTCCCCAGTGCTGCTCCACACAGCCACTGCCAATGGCTTCCAGATGGTCACCAGTGGGGTCCAGAGCAAGGCCGTGAGTGACTGGCTCATCACCAGCGTGGAGGTGAGTGCCGAGACCACTGCCTCATCCTCAGAGCCTGCCCAGCGCTCAGTAGGCCGTCAGTATAACCTGGAACTGAGCATGTTCATCGCCAGCCCTCTGCTGGAGCCAGGCGCTGCTTTCAGTGTTAATGGGGCTCCTGCGGGCCCAGATCCCAGGGTCTTACACCTGATGGTGCAAGGCTGCTTGACAGTCCCCCTCCACCCGTGTCAGCATGCAGGCTTGGGTAGAAGTTGGGGTGCAGCCACATTGTCAGCCACCCCTTCCCCTCCAGTACTGAGTGAGCCAGCCTCAGGAGTCAGTCGAGAATCCCATGCCTTTCTGTGAGTACTTTTTGAGGCCCCGCTGTATGCAGGAGGCAGTGGTGAGTGAGATGCCGTCTCTGCCTTGAGTTTCTCCCGCATATTCAGAGGGACCCCAGGGACATCCAGGCTGAGAGTCCTGGAGCTGAGCAAAGGAGCAGTGAGGAGGGGACCAGGGCTCTGGATGGAGCAGGCTGTCCTGCAGAAACCGGGCGGAGGAGACAGGGCTGGGCAGGTTGATTCAGGTCGAGGGGAAGCCGCTGTAGCCTCTTGAAAGATGAATACATCTTCCAAGACTGTATAAGAGATCATGGTGATTGGGCAGAGAAAACCCATACTAGCCAGAGTCCTTCTTATCAAGCTTCCAGAGGTTGAGTTCAGCAGCAGTTGGTCGGGTTTCCCAAGGGGTCACAGCAGACGGAGCCACCAAGGGTCTTGTGGGCTCTTCTCACCATTTGGGGGTCTGTTACAACCTGCCAGCCTGGCTGCCGTGGCCTTTGGTTCTGGAAATGTCTGTGCTGCTTTGAGCACTCCACCATACCTATTATTCACATGGGAAGCAGGGGGCAGGGACGAAGCAGGGGTACTCAGCCTCCCTCCCACTCTCCCCTGCCAGTGCTGGGATCTGGATCCCATGGGGCCCTTGGGGCTCCATTCTCGATTGCACTGTTTCTCCCCATCAGTAGAGCACCGCCCTCCAAGATAGTGGCTTGGAGCTCAGCCTTTGAAGGGTGGGCTTGGTTTCCAGGGGGAGCAGCACTTTGGAAAAAGAGTGAGCAGATTCTGGTAGCTAGAACAGTCCTTGGCCAAGGCCGGCCCTCGGCCTACACCTGAAATAAAGTTTTATTGGCACATGGCCACTCCCATTTGTTCACATATCATCCATGACTGACTAGTCGTCATAGAGACCATAGAGCCAGCAAAGCTAAAAATACTCCCTTCCCCCCACTGCTGGGTGGGGGACAGCCTGTGCTGTTTCTGGTGGTCGGGACCTCAGATGGCTGGCGTTTCACAGGCTGTCTCTCCACAGGGGCGGCTGACGGGGCTGGGTGGAGAGGACCTTCCCACCATCGTCATCGTGGCCCACTATGACGCCTTCGGAGTGGCCCCTGTACGTATGTGTTTGTCTCGGAGAAGGGGAGGTGGGCACTCTTCCTCCCACGCTGCTCCGGCCCAGCTCAGAGGCAGAAGCGTCTGTCTGGACAGTGGCTGTGGTCAGAGCAGCAGCATCCCCTCTGAGGGCCCCTTCGCGTAACCGCAGGTCTCCATGAGGACCCTGCAGCGTGGGTGTCATCGTGGAGCTGAGACAGGCTAAGCTAGGGTGGGTCTCATAGCCAGGGTCTCACGGCACTTAGGTGGCTGGGCCAGGAAATGACCCAGGTTGTCTGTTAGGGTTTCCAAGATACTTGGTTGATAATTTGCCTGGAGGACCCTGGACTTAGCAGACGGTCATTCTCATGGAAGCTTCCAGAGTCCCCTCTTGGCGGAGTCCCACAGGATGCACTTAATTTCCCCAAAATGAGCTGTGACAACATGTGTGAGGTGCAGTCCCCAGGGGGCTCACAGAGACCCAAGCAGTGCCCAGGGCTCTCACTGGGGGGCCTGTCACGTGGGTCGCTCTGCTTGGCACATACGAGATCCCAGACTCCAGGAGGAGAGTAGATGCTCAGCGTGAACCACGTGTTTACACAGACCGTTTAGGGACAGCTAGCTCCCAGAGTCCAGTTCCAGACACTGCTGAGGGTCAGCCTTGCAAGCTGGCCTCTCTGAGGATAGAAGTGTGAGGCCCGCTCAGCCCCGCTCAGGCTGCAGGCCTTCCTGAGGCCATGCTCTCAGCCCTGGCACAGCGAGATTGAGCTCACGCCAGACTGCAAATCTGTTTCCTTCTTCAAGAAAGTCTCGCTTTGAAAGACCAGCCAGCTGAACCAAACAGGGTGCTGATGGTGGGTGGACCTGCAGCCTGGCATGAGCGCCTGACTTCCACAGATGGGTGACAGCTGTTGCTGGGCCACACCCCCTGGAAGGTCAAGGCTATCTTTGAGAACACCTGGACCAGCCAGGGCCCAGAGACAGGCCCTGAACAGTCAGCTTAGAACACACCTCTCCATTGTTCATTATTCCTTTTTAGACATTTTTGGCCTAATTTCTTAGTCTGTAAAATTAAAAAAAATTTTTTTGACATGTAATTCCCATAACATAGAATTTACACTTTTTTTTTTTAAGATTTTTATTGGGGAATTGGGGGAGGGGAACAGTGTTGGGGAATCGGGAGGGGGAACAGCCAAGTTGTTGTCCTTCAATCTTAGTTGTGGAGGGCGCAGCTAGCCCAGCTCAAAGTCCAGTCTTGCTGATCATCTCAAGGTGCTGTGTTCAATTAGTTGCAGGTGGGCATAGCCACCATCCCATGCAGGGGTAAAACCAGCAGCCTCGTTGTTAAGAGCTCATACTCCATCCACTGAGCCATCCGGAGGCAGCTCAGCTCAAGGTGCTTAGTCCAGTCTTTAGTTGCGGGCAGGCATAGCCCACCATCTCGAATAGGCAGTCTTGTTGTTAGGAGCACATGCTCTCACCATCCTGCTCTGAGCCATCCTGCCACCTGTTGGCAGCTCAGCAGCAACTCAGCTGGGGCGCAGCTCACTGGCCCATGTGGGAATCGAACCAGCGACCCTGTTGCTCAGAGCTCGCACTCTTGAGCAAGTTCTTAACCAACTGAGCCACTCGACCGGCCCCACACTTTTAACGCATATGATTCAGTGGTGATTGTACAACTAGGTGGTATAATCATCATCATTAATTCCAGAATGTTCCTTCACCCCAAAAAGAACCCTGTTCCCATTAGCAGTCATCCCCACCCATTCCCCTCCCCCAGCCCCTGGCAACCACTAAACCACTTCCTATCTCTGGATTAGCCTGTTCTAGACATTTCACATAAATGCAGTCACACACTGTGTGGTCTTGTGTGTCTGGCTTCTCACTGAGCATCACACTGCCCTCTCCCTGTGACTTTTAATACCATCCATACGCTATAGGTCGGTTTGTGGACTGTGACTTTGGGAGGGTCCCAAGCCATTATGGAACCCAAGATTTTTTTTCTCCCCAAGAACCAATTGTTGACCCATTGGGAGTACTGTTTTCAATCAGGACCCAGATGAGTTGGGGGGCTTTCACGGCACAGAAGGCTGGTGGTCTGCTGGAGGGAGCCTGTGCCGACACCCTCCTACAGTGGGGACATGAGGGTCCCTGTGCATATGCCGAGGCTGGACGGTGGCTACCCTGGTGGCACAGCTACCTGCCAGGCACAGGGTAGTGTTAGTGAGCTGGAGACCCAGAAGGGCCTCAAGTGTCCAGGGTCTTGGCTCTGTGGACTTTGGGGTTCTGAGCAGGGGAGGGCAGCAGTCTCAGTTGTGCTCTAAATGCAGACTGGGGACAAGATTGGGGACAGGCAGAGTGCTGCTGATGGCGAAGTGCTGTGCGTGGCTGTAGGGGTGACTGCTGGCCTTGTCTTGCCTGCCTGCAGTGGCTGTCACACGGCGCTGACTCCAATGGGAGTGGCATCTCTGTGCTGCTGGAGCTTGCCCGGCTCTTCTCCAGACTGTACACCTACAAACGCACCCACGCTGCGTAAGTAATGGCCAGGAGGGAGGAGCCATATGCTGACCGGGCCACGCCAGTTACATTTGAGCCTCATGGCCCAGAGGCAGTTCCAACCCCAGGAATAACAGTGTGTGTATTGAGGGCTGCGGGGTGGGGGGTAG